CTCCTGGACCGTGAATAGGGGACTTGTAGAAAAAGTGTACTCCTTATAGGGGATTGCGCGGCAGGATGAAGCTGATCAAAACTGAGTGGACTCCTGGACTCTGTATAGTGGATTTTGGACCAATGGACTATATAGGGTGCTGGACATCATATAGTGCATGGACTCTATACTGAGTCCTACATATAGATCAGTAGAGAGGAATAGAGAGGGTTTACGAAAAACAATTTTCAACACACGTTTATTATGTATTTCTAGTGGCTGTACAGCAGATTTACTAAGCAGGGAATGCCAAGCAGTGGCGCCGTACAGAAAGTTAGGAAGAAGGTAGCATGTATAAAAGAGACGGATACAGCATAACCACGAAACAGAGGGTTAGCTTAGGGCAAAGTAGTAAACACCAGTGCACTCTGACGAAAATACCTCGGGATTGATAGAAATACATGTCGCGTACCTCCATATGTTTTTCCGGGGGGGGGGGGGGGGGGAGGGGAAGGAGTACAACTGCAGCCTTGCTCAGACGTCTAATAGTGGTTGTGTTGTTGCAGTGGGAAGTCGAGATAGTTTTATAGCCAGGACTATCTACTGCAACAGCACAGCTAATCCGCGATATTCATGTTAAAACAAAATGGCGTCACGATTTATTGAAAGTGGTATAGTTGGTGGAACGAGTGTTCAAACCCATTTGAACTTCATACTGTTCGTCTTCTTTTTGACATGCTCCCTTTCCATCGTCCTTAGCTTTTATTTGTTGAGAGCTGTTTTGGCTTTCTCCTATACCTCTGGGGGATGCCAAGTGATGGCTTTGAGAGGCTGGTGATGGCTGTGAGCGAGAGTTTGCCGATCGGCGTCGTCCTCGCTATAGCGATGAAAATACTAGTTACTGCGCACCTGGCACATATCACAACACGTCGGAGCGTCCAGGAGCAAAGGAATCTTGGGTTTTCACTGGAATCTAGTTCCTCCAGCATCGTGTAGCCCACCGTCGGTGAATGGCGGTCCAGAAAGGTCGAACCTGGTCTTCTGCAGCATCTCGCAGTCCTGCGAGGCACACTGAATACGCCTGTCATGTATTCTACAAATAAAAATCACGAAGTTGTGGACTTTACAGTGATGAGTCTATCCTGTATGCTGCAAAAGACGCAGGAAATGTGACTGGTGTCTGTACACTCAGTGACTGGACGCCAACACCCCAGTCTTCTCCTGCAGGATCTGTTTGACATTGACATTATGCAGTAGGTCGGCATTGACCTGGTTTGGCAGCTATCGTTATAGTATCTGCCTGTTTGGATGTAGCAGGTTGGTGTTTGCTCGTCGTCCAGTCCGGAATTTTCTTGTAACTCACGGTGGAGTACGCGCAGGGTTTGTGATCATCCCTGTTCACTTCAATATTATCAAACACAACGTTCCCTTTGTCACTCATCTTATCCTGAGTACTGAATTTGCTGACAATATTGCACCATACTTGTCACAACCTACCGCCACTGCTGGCGGTGGCGACTGGTTCGTCAATGGCGGTGACCAGGCTGACTGACTAGCTTCGAGACAGCGGCCTCGTTGTCAATCCCGCGGCAGCCTAAAGGTTGATTTTATTCATCCAGCCTCAGCGCCATGTTGACGATGCCCTAGTGACTGTGTGTCATGGATTGCCTTGCCATCAGCGGTCATTGCCGTCCACCTTGATGCAGCCCTCAACAACTGGCTCAGCCCATGGGAGTCTCAAGTGGACAAAATTGTTGCCAAAGTAGCTCAGAAGATTGGTGCATCGTGGTGTAGGTGAGCACATAACTAGGACTTCCCAGCGTCTATTTGTCCAGGCTGCGATACTATGTGACATGCTGTACTGCACATTCTTTTCAGCACTGCAAGGCCGGCAGCTGGACCGACTGCAGGGGCCGCGCACATGCAGGCCGCCTGTTGCCAGTGCAGCATTCTGGAACGTTCCTTCCTTCTGAGATCCGTGGAATAATAACTTTCTTTGCTTCAAAGCAAGTTGCTTACCTTTCTGTTGTGCTCCCAGTGTCCTTACAACAATAACCTACAGCAATGTTTTATTTTCCTTTCCATTCCCCAACCAATGAATACTACGATGTCGATTCTATTTCTTCATACTTTGGTGTGTGCCCGCGCACGCACGTGTGTGTGTATACCTCACTCGCCACTCGAAGTTCTGTTCCCCATCACTGGAACACTGCCTGTTCTTTCAGGACCTGCCATCATCTGCGGATGGGCATTCAATAATTGTATTGTGTGTGTGTTTCATTCAGAATCAGATTCGCTATCATTGCTATTAGAGAAAATCTGTGGGTTCACATCCAGTGCATTTTTAGATCTGCGTGCTTTTCTCGCCACGGGCGCATACATGGGACATTGTGTGTGTGTGCGTCTGTGTGTATGGGGATATTGTCTGTATCGGCTTTTGGTACTAATGTTCAGGTCTGTGCTTGCATGTGTGAACATGAAATTGTTCGGTTCTGTGCATGCTATTGCTATGTTGTATATTATTGTATGTATGTGTGCATTTCCACGAACAGTGTAGACGAGCGTGGAGAGTGCATTCATCCCTCATCAACCACTTCCCCTTGGGCTTACGAGAGTTTTTTCTGCGTACCTCTCTGATACTGTATTGATGCCGGCACCTGTACCTCGATGTGTTCCTCTATCTGCAGTCGCCTTTAACCTTCGGTCAAGTTAACGTTTATTGTGCTCTATTTATCGTGCGAATCAAAATAAACAATAATAACACAAGTCGTGCTAGAGTGACGACATGTTCGTGTAGTAGGGTTGATGCGATGGGACGTTATAATTAGGTGGAACAGAACACACATTGGGCAGATTGATTGGGCATCATTGATTGTGCTCAGTCTAAACAGTGAACATAATAATTATCTCCAGTGACAGACTGTAGCGGCTAGCCTCCAATAGGTAGCTGGCACTAGTCGCTACTGCTTGTTTGACAGGTGCCGCCAGAACCCCTGTTGTGTCATGCTATAGATGCACATGCCCTGTTCTGGGGCATACTGAGGTACTTTGATTTTGTTGACTGCATGTAGACAGCATCCAATAGTAGTACTCGTAGACCTTGGCTCTTTGTAGGTCAACCACCATCGCATGGATCGATCGGTGACTATGCACTTGGAGGTTGGAATAGCCCGCGCTGAACAGATCTTGCCATGGCCCAGGGAGTGAACTCGCTTACTCGACTATCCCGGTTTTAGTTAACCAGCATGAGTGGTGCAATTTGTCCATACCATGTTGCGAGCTCACAGTTGTTTGGGCAGGTTTTGAGCTGCACCACGAAACAAAGCGAAATAACGGCGTGACTGTAGAGCAAGGAAGCGGCGAGACGGCACTTCCAGGACGAGACAGGCAGTAGAGATGTGTTCACAGCACGAGCAACCTCTCAGACCCTGCCGGTACTCCACAGTTACAAGAATATGTCGGACTGGACGACGCGCCAATGCAAACCTGCTACATCCACCCAGGCAGATAGCTGCCAAACCAGGCCAATGTCGACCCACTGCATACCGGTATGTCAATGTCAAACAGATCCTGCAGGAGAAGACTGGGATGATATTGGCGTCCAGTGTACGGACACCAGTCACATTTCCTGCGTCTTTTGCAGCATACAGGATAGACTCATCACTGTAAAGTCCACAACTTCGTGATTTTTATTTGTAGAATACATGACAGGCGTATTCAGTGTGCCTCGCAGGACTGCGAGATGCTGCAGAAGACCAGGTTCGACCTTTCTGGACCGCCATTCACCGACGGTGGGCTACACGATGCTGGAGGAACTAGATTCCAGTGAAAACCCAAGATTCCTTTGCTCCTGGACGCTCCGACGTGTTGTGATATGTGCCAGGTGCGCAGTAACTAGTATTTTCATCGCTATAGCGAGGACGACGCCGATCGGCAAACTCTCGCTCACAGCCATCACCAGCCTCTCAAAACCATCACTTGGCATCCCCCAGAGGTTTAGGAGAAAGCCAAAACAGCTCTCAACAAACAAAAGCTAAGGACGATGGAAAGAGAGCATGTCAAAAAGAAGACGAACAGTATGAAGTTCAAATGGGTTTGAACACTCGTTCCACCAACTATACCACTTTCAATAAATCGTGACGCCATTTTGTTTTAACACGCATACGGTCCATTGGTAGACCGTTATCATCATTCAACATCTCGTCCCTTTCTATTGTAGCGATGTATCCTGAACTAGAAAGGTTACAATTCTGGCCAGCGAAATCTGACCTCATGAATAACATGGTGCCACGCTCAAGCGAGCGGAGTGGTGATTGTGATGTCAATCATGTCATCGCCACATCCCCCTCAGCACTTCTATATTCATTATGTTGGATTTCTCTGCCCAGGGCTGTACAAAAATTGCTTTGTGCCCGCATATTTCAATGACTATGTAATGCCATGGAGTAGCCAGAAATAGGTCATCTCAACTACTAGTAGCTTGTGGGTCAGTTACTGGGAGAAGTGATATTTTGCCTGATTGTTGTGCTGTAGGCCATGAAGAGGCAGTGTTCTGGATCCACAGTTGTGGCTAATGAAACAATCTGCCCTTGTTTATGTAACAGACCCTGCCTCTATAGAACACTGCACTGCGCAGAGAACGTGGCTCTGCTCCATTCATTAAGTTGGACGTCACATGCCGCCACCAGAATGCCTGTGTTCAAACTTAGTACCAACTGACAATGGCAATAATACTATTCAGATTGTTGTAAATGAGGGGAATCCTGGTTTTGTAGCTAGTTTTGTCGTTCTTTCTCCTACAGCTGCTGTTGAGCAATTCATCTCGACACAAATTGGTTTTCAAATATCAGTGGGTGAATGGACAAAATGTCCACAGATACCAAGGTGGATATAGCTTGACTGTGTCATGGATAAGATAGAATAATAGTAGAAGCCTTGTACGGATCCGGATGTTGTTCACTGATTAAAATCATTTTCTCAACCCAGGTTATGCTAAGCAGTGTGAACTTGATCCCTGTTTTGTGTTCTTCTTCGCTGTTTTCTGATCGATTACCAGCAGATCATCAGTACTGCAGTGGCAATACAAAGATGACCTTCCAGGAGCAATGTGAAACTGGGGCCTTTCCGCTCATAAACACTGTTCCCAGTAACACATCCGTGCTGTCAAACAGGGAAAACAGATTCTATTTCAACAATGCCAAGCAAAAGTGTGTTGCTACTTCCAGATTCAAATGCAATTCTGGCTATGGTTTTACAACAGATAATGGAACGACCTGGGCTCAGAGAATCAAATTTGAATCAGACGGCAGTGACTGGATTGTCCAGAACGATTGTATAAGTAGGTATACTCAGCTTTAATTATCCTTCACTAAAAAACTACTTGAAATAGATTCCTTGCAACAATTGAATATACTAAGAGGTTGGCAGAGTATGGCTCATTTCAGTATCTCCTTTCTTTGCGTGTTTTCATCTAAAAAAAAAGCCTAAGGATGCAGGAACACAGAGAATACTTTTCTATTGTCTTTTCGTCTTATCATCAACAAGTTGGGCAACAAACTTACACATGGAAATAACTAAGTTTAAAACTACACGAAAAAGGACGAACGAGCGAACATTTTCCTACAATCTTACACATGCTAGTATCCACATGCACTGACTAGCTGGAGACAAATTAGGCAATGTCATCATAGTGAACAACGCTATGTAGTCATGCACTTCCCCTCTCCACCTACACTCCCCCCCCCCCCACACACACACCGCATTCCACATGCACAACAAAAGCGAAAGAAAAATAACTATATCGGGCAAGAAGGAATCAAGTCAGCAGAAACATTTAACAGTATTGCATGACAGGCAAAACAAAACTGTCCAACTGAAACAAACATGCACACGGGGACCACCAACAAGCCAAAAGGTAGCATTGTAAATCAGGCAAACAAGAAAAATAAAACAAAACAGAGCCAGTGCTCCAAACTAAACAACCATAGCGGCACCATAATCAATAGAACATCAAGGCTACAGTGCAAGTTCAACATCACATCACAATAATAATATTTTAGACTCGAACGAAACTACACCAGCATAAAGAAAAGAGAAACAAGTAGGAGAATCCACAGGGCCGTAGCAGGCGGTCCTGTAGGTCCGGCAGCTGCCGGACAAATATTCGGCCAAAAAAAAAAAAAGGTGGGAGCTCACACATGTGAGCAGCTCGGGATGTCCACCCATGATGATGATGTGTGCAATAAGTAGTATACCGTATTATCTCTAATATAAGCACAGTCCTTTATTTTTTCAATGTACCTCCGCCCCGTGCTATTAATGGAGACGTTCATTTATTGGAGACTGTTCCATTATTATTTCAACCTCATTTCAGAGGCATGTTGCCATGCCAAATTCATGTATGACGCACACATTTCAGGGTTTTTTTTCGCCGGTACAGATAATGAATTTACACAGTGTGCTTATAATGGAGACTGAGCACTTTATTTTTTGAATGCCGCTCCAAGGTGTTCTATTATTGGAGACGTGCTATTATTGGAGACTGTGCTTATATTAGAGATAATACGGTAGGTAGCACATAGTAGCGCCGGTAGTAGACCTACATGTCATCAGGAGTATGTCCCTGCTGAAGGTCATGTGGACAGTCATGCCCGTGAATGTTTCTACACTGTGCTTCCTGAAATGTATTGATTCTTTTCTTCCTCCAATTCTTTCTAGATAGGGTTGTACCAAAGATATTCCATTGCAATATCCTTTCTCCTCCTCCAAAGGCACATTTTGTTTCTTTTATCACATGCACTTAGATACTGTTGCTATGCTTCAACAAGTTCTGCTTGGACGCACACAACATGCTGATGCCCTTTTTCCTGACTCACGCAGAACGTCCTTCCTTTTCTCGCCCTATTTCACTCTGCATGGTCACGATCACACATATGTCCATGTACATACACATACAATCATGTACATTTTGTACATGTACCGGCATATGTATGAGTATGTGCTCAGGGGGGGGGGGGGGGGGGTATCGAAGTCGGATCTTGCCGGACCAACCAAAATGGGGCTGCTACGGGCCAGATACAGCAGACAAAACAGAAAGAGCTTGAAAGACAAAGAAGACAAATCATTCAGTGATAGCTGCCATATCTCTCCTCTCACCTAGTGAACCAGGTTTCGCTCAAACATCATCTCATGGTCTCCGGTCCCAGTCCACAGCTCGGCCTCGGTACCAACCGCCTCATCAGCTTTGCCCTTTCCCTCACATTTTTGCCACTACCTTTCTCTCTCTCCCTTCTCTCATCACTGACGACTTTAAAAATATCTCCAGAAACTTCCCTTTTTGATGGAAGGGGACAGCCTGTGGAATTCTATTTTTTGACCAGCCAGGTGTTCTTGAGCAAGCGGCACATTTTTGAATTGTAAAACTTGCTTAGAGCGCCTATTTCCTTTTGTTTCTATAGAGATCACTACATATTGCTCAGAGCCTGGTAGTGTGCTGAATGGAATACAAGCTGGCAGTGACAACAATGGCCGTGCACTCGGTTCAACACGTACGTTCCGGTGTAAGGATGGATACAACCTGAAAGCTGGGAGTGATCCTGTCATCACATGTACTAAAAATAAGTCCAGAACAGGGCTCTGGACACAGCTTCCTGTGTGTGAAGGTGAATAAATTGTTACAAATGGTTCTAACTTTTTTGTTTCCAGTCATCTTCTCAATATCACTACCATTTCCACGGTCTTACACTCAACTTTATGGTAACTCGGGCCTATATCGCGAAAAATATCAGAGGTCAAAAACCACTTTCTGTACGATTTTGTTCATATTGTCAGGGTCGAAGTATCGTAAGGGCAAGCTGTTAATCCCAAAATGTTGCTAGTGTGTAATGAATCCTTCCCTACATTTGGGGCCTGTGAAAGACACAACCAGTCGCTCACATTTATATCGCAAAAAACCTACTTTTACAAACAGGAGTTCGCTTTTCATTTGTTTCTATGTAGCAGGCTTGTACAAAACTATGATATATGTGCATTTCAATTCTTTTTCTGGATTTAGGACCATTATAATCACACAGTGTTGTGGCAAATACACTGGAAACAATTACGAGAGAAGATCATTTCTTCGCATATTTCTGGAAACAGTGGGTAAACGAGTCCAAAGACCTTACATCATTTTGACATAACTTTATGATACTGACGTAGTGCGATGCAAATAGCAAGAAAACCCCAATCATTTTCGGGCCAATTGTGCAAACCTTAAATTTCATAGGATTTTGGTACCACATTGAGTCGGAGCTTGGATTACATATACCAGTTTCGTCTCCTTTTACAGAAACCTGTACCTTTAGCCTGTGTTCTTTTGCTGATAAATCTACCGTGACATGTTCTGATACAATGAGAATTTCTGACATGATTGCAAGAAGCAACAGATGAAGACTGGAAGCACTTTATCGTCTTCAATGCAAACCTGTCTCTTTCTTAGGGAACGCCTTGTTTGGGCTATGAGGGCCGGGTTCCACTGCGGCTCCGCTACTCCGTTGCACATCATCTGCGGCTTGAAATGTCCTCATTACCGTAGTGACCGCGGCTCGAGCTGGCGCATCAAGGCCGCGGCTCACCATGAGCTTTCGCTGCTATTTTTGATCAAGAACTGCGAGCCGCGGTCGCGACTCGATCTGTTTCCCGTACTTTGCATTGTTTTGTATGCGAGAATTTTAAAATTCAATTATTTATCCGTTGAGCAGGCCAGAAGAATGATTTTTTTTGATTTCGCGGGTGCGAGCGCGCAGGCAGGTAAAACGTCATCAAAGAAACGTGGATCACTCCATAGAATCTGCCATCATGGTCGTTGTTTCTCCTCATGGTCGTTGTTTCTCCTCATGGTCGTTGTTTCTACTCGTGGTTGTTGTTTCTACTCGTGGTTGTTGTTTCTACTCGTGGTTGTTGAAGTTGCCCACCCACCCAGGTTAGATGTATGTCTTCTGTTCTATTCTATGTCAACAGTACGCATGGCTTTGCATTTTATTACACGCAGTTTCTTAAATTCTCTGTTCTTGGATCCTACTAGCGGTGGGGGAGGGCAAAATGAAACAATTTAGTTTTTCGGTCAAGAAGCGTTTTCTTCCTGTAGCCTGGTCGAGCAGTAGTGGCAAGGATTGTAGGCCGTCATTGGTTTCAGGCACTCCCTTGCAAAGTAACCCATGTTCACCACTGACCATGCTGCTTCTTTGCTTTTTGAGGGTCTTTCTCCCGATGCTGGTGGTCATTTCATTGATTTCCATGTTGAGTGTTATCTGACTGTGTGGGTGCACTTCTTCTACTCGTTTCTGAAAAATCACTACGGTGGTGAGTGTGATTGCTCTGGTAGACCACTAGGGGGAAGGAAAGGGAGCTAAGAAGGAGGGACTCGAGGGGGGGGGGGTGGGGGAGGTGAGGAATGAGGAGGAGGAGGAGGAGGAGGGAAGAGGGCGCAATATCATGGGTCTTGACATAGGGCAGAGTTATAAAATTAATATGGTTTATGACTGGAGAACATCAATATCTTTGCTGCCCTATTTTTCAATATTGCATTTTTAAATACAGCGGAGGATCCGGTTGCAGCAGGTTCAGATCAGGCTGGAACTGTACTCCTCGAATATTCGAATACAAGCGAAACGAAGAATATTCGTTGCAAGGCGTGCTCCGATCGAATATTCGAATAGTTCAAATATTTGTTTCAGCCCTACTTCATGTACGTGTGAGGCGAAATCCTGTTCGTCATCAACCGCCTAGGACTCCATAATCTTCCCACTCGGATTCTGTTGTCTCCGACGGTGCACCGTTAGTTAATTCTGCCGCCGCCTTGAATGTGGCCCCTGATGCCGGGGCGGCAGCTCAAACTTTGGATGCAGGAAGTAATGTGCGTGTGAGGAAAAATGTTGTTCATCGTCAACCAACCAGAGCTCCATTATCTCCCTCGGCCTCTGTTGTCTCCGACGTTGCGCCGTCAGTTGATTCTGCCACCGCCTTGTGTGTAGCCCTCGATGCACTTGCTTCGGCTGTTTCTCAGGCCGTTTCTCAGGCCGTCGGCCAGGTCATCCAGCCCCTGATGGAGAGGGTAGAGCGGTTGGAATTTGCTGCAGTCATCGTGCCGCCGTCAGGCGAAATTACTGGTCAGTCGGCGACACGCATTTTTCACAAAAAAATGCGTTTCACCTGCTGGGAGAGTATGCGTGTACTCGAGTCTCATCCTGAGCACGTTTTTTTCTTCTTTTTTTCAGCTCCAGTATAGCTGTATTTTTCATTGCAAAGCCGTCCTCGATTGTTGTGTTCGTTGTTCAAACGAAGTGGACATTCAATCATGAAGGCAGAGGACATAGGAGCCTGATTGGAGTTTCTCGTGGCATAGGACGGCCACACAGAGACACTTTGGGATTTTCTGAATATAAAATACCGTACGCACGATGCTGAGATCAATTTGTGCGATATCAAATTGTTTGTGATCTACCACATCGAGCAGAACGGGATCCAAACACAAGCTTACCGACGGTTAGGCTGCCGACCTGACTGGACAAATGATCCCTGGCTTCAGCAGACGCCAGAAGTCGGACACCATGTCCTTTGCTGCGACGTCCATCTCCAAAAAGAACTCCATCTTCGTTGTGAAAAGGCTTGAAATACTCAATATTCAAACGAGATTCGCGGTCTCACCCTTTCTCAGATCGCATAATTTTTTTGTTGTAGCAGTTGCAGGGCAGATCCCCGCCACTACTTCAACAGAAGATGGCTCCAAAGTATGCCTGGAACAAGCCGTATCGAGGTTGCAAGCCACCCCTCTCAGCACTTTTTTTGAAGAAATTCGAAATTTCAATAGTGGAAGATATACTATGAAGAGAATTTCAAAAAGTATGTTTCGCGGAGCGATCGCTCAACCTACGTCATTCAAACTTTGCAGGATGGTTCAGACGTACATGCTAGGCATGGAACCACAGAAGATGATATCATAGCTGACATACAGAGTCACACACACAGCAGATTCGTGTGCACAGATACTAAATTAGTGGACGTCGTCATCTTCTTCCCGCTGATCTCAAATGTACTATGACGTGCTATTTCGCCTGACGGTTTTATGAAATGCACTGCAATTACTCCCTCCCCTCACACCGGGGCAGTATTGTAATCCTTCATCTCTATCGTTGTCATTTGCCCAATGCAAATGACTTCCAGAGGGTTTGATATTCTAATTGTGAGTTGTGTGCAAACACAATTTAGCACGTTCCCATTGTAGTTTGAATGAATAGCTACCCAGGTCAACGGAACAAAAGGTGACAAAAGGAGACAAAAGGTGAGCATGAGGGTGCATGCAGGCCAGCTTGGAAAAGGTTGTAGAACGTACGGTAGGAGGTACCTAACACTTGGATAGTGGGCAAAATTGACTAAAATACACACTGAAACAAGGTTAATGCTGCTCACAAGAACACAGCGCAGCCAAGCCAACTATCTTCGCACACCGATCCAAGTTACCTAGTCATGTGTAGCCATCCATCTTTTGACTGGAAAATTACTGAGTCGAACGAACCAATCGGAATTATGTCACCTCACCAACTCGTGTCACGAGCCACACGGCTTCAACCATAGATCTGTTTCTATCAAATACACCCATTTCTGGTGCCTGTGAAACGAAATTCGGAGATATTAGCGACCATTTCGCCATCCTTGCACACTTGCCTGTAAACCAGACAGGGGTAAACCGGACATCACGACCCGGACAGAGTCGCCGTATCCACATCATCGACTGGGAGAAGTTTCAGACTGATCTGTGTGTCCACTTTCATCAGTTCCCTCGGAACGGCACGATAAATGATATGACGGGTGCATTCACCTCTGCTATTATGGAAACACTAGATGAGCACGCCCCCTCGGTGGCGAGGCGCAGGCGTGGTCGCCGTATCTGTCCTTGGTTAACTGAGGAGTTGGTATCTGCAGTACGGCACCGCAACAGGCTACACCATCGACTCATGAAGGATCAAGCCAATGAGTTGCTTCGTGAGCAACATCGGCTCGCCAGAGCTTTTGCCAGGAAGCTTGACCGAAAGCTTCGTAACCTGTACTTCGTAAACCAGTGCAACACACCTGATCAGCAGAAACTTTGGTCAGCAATGAACGCAGTCACAGGGCGACGGAAGGAACGTCAAATACCTCAAGTTTCTGTTGAGGATCTCGGCCAGGTCTTCGGTGAAATTGTCTATGACCCAAGCAGACCACAGAATCTGCACCCGCCACTTGGGCCAATGCCAGCCAACAGTCTTCACGTCTTCAAACCTGTAAGTGTTGCAGATGTTGAAAAGTGTCTTAAAGCGGTGGATCCATTCAAAGCTGCCGGCAGTGACTCTGTACCTGGAATTGTCCTGCGGCAATGTGTAAATGTGCTTGCTCCTCCACTTTCCTGTATCATTAATAGTTCACTACAGAGTGGTGTTGTGCCCACCACGTTCAAGCACTCCCACATCAGTCCCCTGCATAAAGCCGGAGACCGCTCATCAGCCCGCAACTACAGACCTGTATCCTTACTCCCTATCGTTTCGCGTATCCTAGAGCAGTTTGTGAAGAGACAGCTGACAGAATATCTGTACAGCAATGATTTATACCCGATGACTCAATTTGCATATCGACCCCGCCATTCAACAGAAGATGCATTGGTACTAGCAGTGAATCGCTGGCTATTAGCGAAATCCAAGCGCAAGTACACCGGTTTGGTCATGATTGATATGTCGAAGGCGTTTGATCGTGTACAACATGAGAAACTGGTTAATGAACTGTACACCCTAGGCATTGGAGGAGCAGCCCTACACTGGTTCTGTGACTACCTCAGTGGCAGGTCACAGCGAGTGAGGGTGCTGGACAGCTTGTCTTGCTCTGTTGGCTGTACGCGTGGTGTTCCGCAAGGGAGCGTTCTTGGACCCATTCTCTTTGTGTTGTACACCCGTAATCTGCACACAGCACTTCCTGCAACTGTCAATCACCAAGAATTTGCTGACGATATAATCCTTGATTTCTCCCATCCTGACTTAGATCTTGTTGGCAGAACTCTAACGAGAGCAGTAACTGATATCTCCCGATGGCTTGAAGACATCGGCCTCGTAATGAATGCCAGCAACACTCAGGTCATGTTCGTTCAGCCTCGTGGCGCAGCCATTGCCACACCCGATGTTTTCTGCAACAACGAGCAACTGGAGGTGACTGCCACCGCAAAGTACCTTGGTGTGATCGTTGACGACCAATTGTCATGGAGGCCACATGTCGACTATGTGTCACGTAGAACAGCACAAACCATAGGGCAATTGTGGAGACACGGGCGTTCACTAACGCTGAGAGCTCGACGGTCGTGGTACACCAGTATGGTAAACAGCCAGCTGTGTTATGCTTCAGCAGCATTCTACCCAAGCCTCACAGCTCAGCTTCTCGACCGTTTGGGGAAGATCAGCAAGGCTGGAGTCAGAGCTGTGTTTCAGCTCCCTCGTCAAACACCGACCGCACCTCTTATTTCTAGATTAAATATTCCCCCACTAATCCATCATTTTAAGCTCAAGATTGTTGTTTTTGTCCATAGATGTCTTGCCTCCAATGCAAGCATGCTATTTTCGCCTTTCTTTCTGTTGATCGCTGAACCTGGTCTTGAGCAAAGCACACGCCGTGTTACACGTGGCCAGGTCTCACGTCTTCTCCAAATTCCATTTGTTCGTGGACCAGCATCTCGAGCGCCCATGCAATTCGTGGGCAGCGTGTATTGGAACAGGCTCCCGGCAAATATTCGTTGCCATGAAGATATTCTGGGTTTCAAAGCCCTGCTGTGCCCAGATGTTCTTGACACGCTTTCTCTGTCTTGACTCATTCGTCAGACATGTACATTTTGATCTTTTTGGTTTGGTCTCTAATCGACAAACTGACTTTTCTCCTCAAATACCTCAACTTCTCTATTTCTATTTCATACATCTGCTTCGTTTTTTCCTTACTCTTTTCTGTCTATCTTTTTATTTTCTTTCTCTTGTCATGTAATCACTGTCACTCACATACAAATACCGTCATAAAATATAAAACACAAGTGTTTCTCCTCTTTTTCTATTTCTTGTTCTTCATTAGCTTTAGCATGTTCATTCACATTCTTCATCATTTGTGAGAACTAGACCTGGTCTAGTGAGAAGGCATTCTACTGCCTGTAATTCTGGTGAAGTAAAATAAAGTAACAACAACAACAACAACAACAACAACAACAACAACAACAAAAACAACAACAACAATCAATTCAACCTGTCCAATGGCGCCATTACGAAGACCATCTTTAGGGGCCAGTAGCAGCGAGGTTACGTCCTGAAATTTGGAGTAGACCACCACCATAGTCTGTTACAATATGTCCCTAAGCGCCAACAAGTGATAGTCTTGAATAAAGGTATTCACTAAAAATCAACTGGAAATTATTCAAATTTCGAACTCTCCAACAGCCATGCACTAGCCGAATTCAACTGCGTGGCAGGAAAGCAAACACGGAGCGCCTCCATTTGCCTTTTCGCTACGCTACCAGCACTGAGACATCATGGGAATAATCCCTGCCCTGGCAGAAACTCGAATGAAGCCGCCACGAAGCGTCACTTGCCGAACAACCGTCCAACATGACTAGAAAGAAGAACTGCCCCACAACAACAAATCGGCGCAAGGACTGCAACAGTAGTGCAAGATAGCCCAGAACGATCTCTTGTGCTGGCCAGCTAGTGCACGCGAGTTTCACATCATTTTTGCTATGATCCTTGATACACAGTAAGGGCATGAACCTCGCGTAATTAGGCTCGCTTTTGGGGATGTTCTTCACTCTCCTTTTAGACTAATTCCTGTAAAATGGTAGAATATGTATGTAAGCGAAGTGTATTGAGGGAATGCATGCAGCGGAGGGCGATAGTGCAGGTTCGAACCCACGTTATCGTTAAAAAAAAGGTCGAAAAATGAGAAAAAGAAGCGAGAGAGCTTGAAAGCTCAGGGCCCTACGCTATGCTTTTTTTGCCTAGCTCATCATGCATGTTATTCGAACTGATGAAAATGTTTTTGCAATACAATGATGTAGCCGATCAGTTCTGTTAGGTACCTCCTCCCGTACAACCTTTTCCAAGCTGGCCAGCATGCACCCCATACTACGTCGTACTCACCTTTTGTCACCTTTTGTTCCGTTGGCCTGGGTAGCTACTTGCGCGCCCATATTTGCCATAGCTGCCCAGGCCCTTTATCTTGCCGTTCTCACTTGATCTCTCGCTCTTGTCTCTCTCTTCGACAATGTAGTCATTTTGTTCATCTTGGCCTCTGTCTCTCCATCTCCCTAATGAATGTTGTTAAATCCTAACCTGTTCCATTGTAATGTCTGGAGAATATGTTGTCATCGTTTTCGTACTCAACAGTTCTAATAACATGCATGACGAGCTAGGCAAAAAAGCATAGCGTAGGGCCCTGAGCTTTCAAGCTCTCTCATTGAGCTTCCTCCTGCCTGTCGAATTGCCTTATATGCTATTCCACTGAGCAGAGATTGACTGTGGAGACCCAGAACAGGTTGCCAATGGCCAACATGCTCTCACCTCTACTGTTTATGACAGCCGTGTTGGCTACTCATGTGACAGTGGTTATGAACTGGTCGGGAATGCCAGTGTCAGGTGTCTGCTGAATGGACAATGGAGCAGCCCAGTACCACAGTGTGTCCGTAAGTATTCTGTGTTACAGTATTGCCGCTGGAAGAATTGGCTTTGATGCCCGCTGAGTTGTTGGCTTGTACGTAACTGAGACCAAGCTAAGTAGCTGCATTGCTGCTTCTCCAATCTACGCTTCATCAATAGCGGGTATTCTTGAGCACAACTTAATAGAGCTGTTTGTGTTGTGCAAACACAATTTAGCACGTTCCCATTGTAGTTTGGCCAGCGGTCAATGGAGTAGTTCCGTGCCAGTCTGCAACCATACGTCCAGACATGAGTGAAGTGCAGGTTGCTAGATTGATTGGTGTTTTGAAAACCAATATTGTACATCCCATACATCATGCAATTTAGTTTTCTTTCATCTCATTGGCTTGAACACAGCTCCTGTACCCTGTTCTATGCTTTTCTGTTCTTGTTCTGTCGGCCATGTTTAACAGCAATCACGTGTGCTGACCCAGGCAAGCCAATGTTCGGTAGTCGTGAGCTGGAGGGACTGGTCTACCAGAACCGTGTTGACTGGGCTTGCAACGAGGGTTACAACCTTGTAGGATCACTGTCTGCTATCTGCCAGGCCGATCGTACCTGGACCAGCCATGTACCTCGGTGCGAACGTAAGCTTCATGATTGGCATTGTCGGAACACAAAATAGTATGTTCCTTGTGTTGGGTACAAAGAGAAGTCATACTCCCCAAGACACAACGGACAACGGGAACGAGTAGTTGGGAAGACATTTATTATAGAAGAAGAAACGGAAAGACGGAGACCAAGACGAACGCAACGACTAGATTATGGAAGAGAGATATCGACCTGAAGGCAGCGGATCTCTCCGTGGAGAGCGCTCTCCAAGCTGCAGGAGATAGACTAACTTGGCTTGACACTGTTGACAGATGCGTAGACTCTGCTCCTGTCTAACAGGTTCAGGGAAGATGCGAGCTGTGTTTATTATTATGGAGTTGGCTTTATTTCACTCACGTTGTCATGACATGAGGTAAGAACCCCATCACCGGGCCAAAAGAGACCAAGGGTAATGAGAGAAAAAAATAGATAAATGGCCAACGCAATGAAGACCGAAGCAAAAAGGATTGTAAAAACCAAAGCAAAAATATTGAAAGCCGAGGCAGAAACTGAGAGACGAACAGAAATAAGCAGAACGATGGAGGAGGCCAGGACATATTCGAATACAAAAAGATGGAGGAGGACAGGACATATTCGAATACAAAAAGAGTAATCACAAAAATGGACTACCAACAAAAAGAGTAATCACAAAAATGGACTACCAGGAATAGACCTGTAGAAATAGAGGAAGTGATGAATGCCGGACATACTCAAATGGCAAGAGAAAAATCAGGTTGTGAGGACCGTCATGCTGCACATTCATGGATGTCAAAGCAAATGCAGTATTGGAGGTTTATACGGACTAGCTCTACCCGTAACACGAGGAGCCTAATGCCGAATGCCAAGAACCGACTTGACGATGTTCAGCGTGCCCAGGATAGCACATTGCTGAGCCCTTTCAATGCGCAGAGTGCCTGCCAATGCCAACACAAAGTGTGACAGGGACACACCAGTCAATCCACCAAGCGCCCCAACAACCAGGGGCACAATGCGGACATCATCCACATGCCAGATGCGCCGCAGCTCTTGGCAAAGGGGAGCGTACTTAGTTATTTTTTCGGCGATTTTTGTGGGCACATTCTGGTCCAATGGAACACTGACATCCATCAGCAGCACCTGTGTGCTGGACCGCAACACCAGGTCTGGACGGTTGTGGCGCACTTGCGTATCCGTTGGGATATTGAACTCCCACAGGAGCTTCATGTCAAGATTTTCCGTGACAGGCACAAGATGATGATTATTATTATTATTATTAACTTAGAAGTTGCGACTTCGGCGGTAATAGTCATGAAGTTGGTTGCTCCAACGAGGAGCACACGCTTCTTGCCGAACTTGACACTTGACTGACTCACGACTGCCATCCGGAGCCCACCAGGAGCACGTCGCACCTTCCGCTCGGCAAACCTGAAAGAAAGCACCACTCCCTGCTCAATACACAGTGTTTCGGGGAATTGACCCCTCATCAGTTGAGCTTGAGTAGGCTGAGGAAGATTGTGCCTGAAAAGCACCACTTATATACTGCTCTCCAGGCACTGTGTATTGAGCAGGGAGTGGTGCTTTCTTTCAGGTTTGCCGAGCGGAAGGTGCGACGTGCTCCTGGTGTGCTGCGGATGGCAGTCGTGAGTCAGTCAAGTGTCAAGTTCGGCAAGAAGCGTGTGCTCCTCGTTGGAGCAACCAACTTCATTATTATTATTATTATTATTATCTGAAACTCGGATGTTGAGCCAATAATAAGTGTAGAAAGGAGAAGGAAATATAGATACGAGTTGAGAGTAACTCTCCATCACTGTAACCAGATACTATATACAGTCAGAAAGTGCAACAACTAGGCACAAAACTGACAGAGTACTGAGACATTTGACGTCCTGACACCTAGCTTCAACACATCTCCGTAGCGCTAACCGACAGCCTTCCAACTTGGAAGGTTCAAGGTTATGGAATGACCAAAGAGGGGAAGGCAAGCGCAACGAAAATGAGCACAAGCTACAGTCCCAACGGAACAAAAGAATGTCGATTCTTACTGGACTATGACGAGACCAGTAGGATATTTGACAAAGCGGTCTAACTACAATTTGAAGCATTCGTTTTCGCAAAGCTTCCCTTTCTTTTATCTTTGATATTTATGACCCACCCAAGTTGGGTGGTGTGCTGCTTTGCTGCTTCGAATCGAATTCGACTTCCTCCTGCACCACTGCAGCGAAGTCAACGACTTTGTCTGCGGGCGGTTCCATGACAGTCCAGGCTGGTGTAGACTGTACGGGCTGTACGGAGTCTGGGGTCAGAGTTCCGTACCGTACTTCAAACGAGGACAGACGGTTCTCCAAGCTGTCGATTGTCTTTTTCATCTTCAAGTTTTCCGCCATGATACCTTCCATTTTCGAACCAATTTGCTGGACGATGGCCTCCATGCTCTCCCTGGAGTTTGTCTACTCGCTACGGATTTCCAGAAGCAGGTCGTTCATCTTACCAAGGTTATAGGAGTCAGCAGACTCGCTTCTCTTCTTCTGAACTCCCTCCAACGGTGACGTTGGGTTTTTTTGGGGCCATCCGTTGAGAAATCGTACTGGGTGTTCTGCTCTGGGTAGCCATGGTCTACTCACAGCTACGTTCACTCTCACACTACAAAATTAATGATTGCTATGTTCTTAGAAGCTAGATACAGATAACTGGTTGGCCGGAAAGATCCAAAGTGTGCGAAAAACCGCAGAGCTCGAAAACATGCAACCGACGCGTACAGTAAATGTTACCAAGATCTCAACCCTACAGCCGCCCATTATAATGGAACTCCCTTCAATTTAGACTACGTCTTTGGGAAATCCTCAAATATACTTCCTCCGCGTCATCGAAATTGTCGCAGTTTGACTAGTGACTTGTCACTTGTTACTGGCAACTCCATAAGCTATACCATTCAAAACTTATTACACAGTATGATAGTCTGAAGGCTAGAGTAACGTTCCAGGACAGTTGGACTGAGAAATTTCACGCAGAGATGAAGGCCTCGTCCTCGTTGATGTCAATGGACGCAAAAATATCGTTCCAAAATAATTCAAGGAAGGTTGTAAGTTGGTCGCGCCTCATCACAAACGCTTTGACTTTCTCAACAGGACAAAGCCTGCTATGCTTGTCGTCTGCTAGCTCTGGATGATTTCTACTTCACCACCAACGAAGTAAGAATACACGATCGTTGCGAGGTCGGTTGATTACCATCGGCGGAATCACCTCGATCTTGAAATGAACTTTTTTTAGCCGTGGCATGTTCATTTATTTTAGCTGTGTGGTCACAGCTTGTTGTTGTTGTTTCTTTATTTTACTTCACCATATGAACAGGCAAGACTGCCTTCTCACCGGGGCTGTTGGCCCACGGCTCTCACAATATGATGAAAATGTTTAAAATGTGTATGAAGAAGAAAGGAACGGAAAAGAAGATGAAATGAAAGGAAAGAAAACAGTAGGTATTAATTTTATGAAGGGGGGGGGTATGAAATGGGTATTATCATAGTTGATGAGAGAAGTATGATATACAATATTCTTGTTCTATAGACTATTTAGTACGGGCATTTCATGAGAATCATGCATGGGCAAGGCAAGATTTGGACTAGGATAGAGGACAAGAACATAATTGATGAGCATCTGTTCAGGCAGAATCTGTGAAGAAGACATAGTAGGCACAACATCGGAGAGCTAGTTGACGAGGGAGATGAGGTCATAGCCAGACAGCAATGCTTGAAACGTGTGGCGTACGTCGCAAGCGCGAATATCAGCAGGGAGAGAGTTCCATGTGGTACTGCCAACAAAGGCGATAGAGCTACGGCCTGAGGGACCAGGTAGGAACGGCACTCTGAGCAGCTGGCTGACCTGACCACGCGTGACACAACTTCTGTCCACATCCGTGGCAATGAGGGAGTAGTAGGATTGGAACAGTGAGCTGGCTCTGCCATGAAGGCAGCGGAAGACGAAGAGAAGCAGACGTTGCACGTACAGCTGGTGGAGCTGAGGCATTGATAGTCTGGCAAATAGGGGAGCAGTGGGGGTCCTTCTGGGGAGTTGGAAGATGGCTCGTATGCCAGACTTAGCAATGCGTAGCAGTCGATGTAGCAGCAGTTTGGATAGAGCAGGAAAGAAACAGTTTGAGGCATAGCAGAGAACAGACTGGATCATACTCATGTACCAGGCCCGGCGGGCATTGAGTGAAAGGCACCGTCCATGGCGCCAGAGCTGCCCGATTGTAGTAGCAGTCTTGCTGGCAATAAAGTCCACTTGGGGCTTCCAGGACAGTTGGTCATCAAGCATGACACCGAGATACTTCGTGACTGGAGTAACATCAAGCACTGTGGTACCACACTTCACTTCAGATGGTCCATCCAGACACCCACGGGGTCTCACAAACATAACTTGGGTTTTACTGGCATTTAATAGCAGACCAATGTTGTCCAAGTACTCAGCGAGTCGTGTTACAGCGTTAGAGAGAACAGAGCACACTAAATCAGGCTGATAGTCGGAGTAGTCCAGAGCCACATCATCAGCGAATTCCTGGTGGCATACACTACCTGGTAGAACTGACGACATATCACTGGTGTACAGTACAAAAAGAAGAGGGCCCAGAACGCTGCCTTGAGGCACTCCTCGGGAGCATCCAACATATTGCGAAACTGAGTGTTCCACCCGTACACACTGCTGCCGCTCCGAGAGATAACTGAGGAACCATTCCAGTGGTGTGTCACAAATGCCAAGGTCAAACAGCACTTGCACAAGCCTGGCATGCTGGACTCTATCAAATGCCTTCGATAGATCTACCATTACTACCCCGGTGTGTTTTCGTTCCGATTTGGCCAATTTCCAGCGGTTGGAGGCAAGGATAAGAGCATCTTCTGTTGAGTGATTTCTTCGGTATGCAAATTGACTTGAAGGTAACAAGGAGTGATCATCTAGGAAAGTTGTCAGCTGTTTCTTGACAAAGTGTTCCAGTATGCGAGAAACAATAGGCAGTAGCGAGACG